TCTATACCTATGGACCAGTCACAGGTAGAGTCCCACCACCAGCGTTTCCTCTAAGCTGTGTGGTGTGTGCAACCGCACAGGTGCGCCTGGCAGTGTGGCATGAATGAGCCTGTGTGGCTGCGCATGCCCTGCAGTTTCCAGGGAATGCTGCTCAGCCGGTCTCCGTTATCCCTACAAGATCATAATCTTTGTCGCTCAGGAGAAGGGCCAGTTCCTCTTGCTTGTTTCCCAAATTCCTGGCATTTGTGTACAGGCAGCTGAGTATGCCATGGGAAGCCCTGGGCTTCCTTGTGTACTGGGATATGATCTTTCCTTGGGCTGCCATCAGAGTAGGTTCCCTTGGGCTACCTAACCTGTTAATACTGTGGCTGACATGACTTGGGCTAGAACTATTAATTGACTGACCATCCCCCACTGATCCTAGTTTAAATCCCTGTCAAGTAAGTCAGCCATTTTAATTGTTACATAAATGTAACACATGGAGGGGGAGCACCAAAGTTTTGTCAGCAGCTCTTGTCATCTGTTCCCCCTTGCTTCAGATTCTTTATCTCTTTTCAGATCTCATCTGAAGGTATCTTTCCCCCACTGCCTGCAATTCTGTCTCAGGCCTGCTGATTATATATTTTTTATTTTCTCACTTAATATTAAATGGTTTCAAGGTATAGTTTGCAGGAAAGATGTTATACTAAATAGTGCTGCAAAGGGCAGCAGTAAAAAAAAACCCATACTTGAAATTTACTTTCACACACTTCAAAAATTATACCCTTCTAGGAACCTTCTGCACTTGGAGACAATGTATTCTTCTCTTCCTTTCTGGTGTTAGGGATTCAAATGTACTTTAAAACATGAAAAAATAAGCATGCTGGGTCTCAGTAAGGGCTGGCTCATTTTCACCAGGCCTGAGTACATGGTGGTTAAGAACTTCTCTCTCTCAACCAAGGTGCTTTCCTTTGAGGGTACAGTGCAGAAATCCAGAACATATTAAAGTCCAAACATGCGAGTTCCATTCCCTTAGCTTTAATTTTTTAAAACACTCAAAGGCCAAAATCATCCCTAGAGTAACAGTACTGGATTTCAGCAGGGTTATGCTGGAGATTAATTCTGGGACCCAAGTGAAGACCAAATTAAAATAGCATGTGTTGGCAGAAGTGCGTAGGAATCCTGAATAGGTGGTCTGTATTATGCCTAGATGCTGGTGCTATCAGTTCCTCACTTTAATAAGTGCTAAATTTAGTCAAGCTAGTCTAAAAATTAAAACCCAGACAAACAACTGCTTGTATCCAACATTTTAAACTCCTCATTGGCCTCCTACAGATGAGGAAATGGAATAGTAGCCAACAGCTATGATATGATATTTATGGCTGCGTTTAAAAAAAATTGCAAAAGGATTTTTGAGCAACAGGGATGGGAGAAGAGCTCTTAAGAAGGCCATGCAAAAGCAAGCTCTACAAGTTGTTTGTGCACCTCCTCTTCCATATCTGATCTCATAGTATCTCTGGGCAACTCCAGCAATTGCTTGGATTAAAAAAGTGTTATGAAAGCATCTTCATTTTGAGCTGCCTTTAATACGGGGCGGGCAATTATTTCAGGCAGAGGGCTGCTTACTGAGTTTTGGCCACATGATAGGCAGCCAGGGGCAGATAAGTATTAATTTTCTAAATTTTTTTAGGGGTCATGCAGGCCAGATAGAATGGCCTGGTCGGCCACATCCAGCCCATGGGCCACATTTTGGCCACCCCTGCTTTAATACAATAAATATAGTCATCTCCTTTTCATTTTTCTCTTCTACCAGTTCTGCCTGCCTCTGCCTTGCACATACTTTTCTACCAAATAGCTGCTTCCTCTTTTTATACTTCTCCATACATCATCTACCATCTCCTGATGTTCCTCTCCCTTCTCCCACTTCAAGCTACTTATTCACATGGTTGTTTTCTTTCTTTCTGTCTCTGCTCTACCCTTCCCTGGATATTCCTTTCTTTCAGGCGGTACTTGGATCCTCTTATCAAGTACATTCCATGAGCCCTTAGAGGCAGCTAAGCTGTTTTTTCTACTGTGCAGATGGCTATCTAGTGGCCTACTCTGCAATAAGCCACTAGATTTTTCTTTACCATTAAGAGTTTGGGCACTGTGAGAAAAGCTAGAGACAAGACGAGGCTGCCACCATATGATCTATGTGCAGACCAGTTTCAGCACTGCTGCACACAAAGGGTGTCTATAAACTCGCTTGGTGTGGGGGTGGGGATGCGTTTTAATTAGAGTGGCTCCTGAAAGTTGCTCCAGTTAATATGTGACAGTACCATGTATATTCAGTGTCTGGCATTTCAAAATCGCCATGGGGGCACTTTAACTAAAGCTTGTTAGACAAGTTTTAGTTAAAGCGCCCCTGTTGCCCTTTTGAAACGCGGGGCGCTATAAACATGTGACCATGAGGCACGCTGCAGCATTCCCATTAGAATGCATCAGAGCACATGTATAGGCACGTAAGGATGGTGCCTCTAACAGTAAATCGGCACTGATCAGCACTTGAAAAGCATAAAAACTGCCAACAGATTTGGGTGTACCTAAGGCCTTATGGCCCCTAAACAAGGAACATTACCAGCTGAGCCAAAATGAGATACAATAGCCAAAGGGAAGATATTTGGCTACATTAATAAACTCTAATAAACTCCAGGCAACTCCATACATGAAAGTTTCTTTTTCCTTGATTTGTTTCCAGTGTGTGATCTTAAGGACTTTATTTGTTTCAAAACAGCTAAGCAAGTTCCATCACATACACTGACTCAACAGGAACTGTCTTTTAAGGAAGCACTCAAGCAGAGCCATCTTTGAAAGAGTTTTACAACCTATAAAGGGACACTTAATTGAACCAACCATTTAAACCACAAAGCAAAGAGAAAAAACAAAACTACACAAAGGCAATGCAGGGGATGTTTATACCACAGTTAATCCAGACTAAGCACAGTCATGCAGGAAAGATTCACGGGGTAAAGGGTCAGTATATCCAAAATCCAAGAGAGAAGACTTTCAACTGCACTGCAATAAGTTTACAAAGCCAAAAATTCCTTTGGCAGAACTGTACTTAAACAGCAGCAGGTAAGCAACTGGAAAATGAACATTAATGACCTCCCTTAAGACCAGACAACACACTTTGTCCAGTGTCCATATTTGTTAGATTATGTGACTTGGATACTATCTTCCGTTTTAACATGCAGATCTGCCACGAGACTATAAAAGAAAACCAGAAGAAAAGGAGAGAAGCCAACTAAAAACATCAGTGGAAAAGGAGAGGAAAAAGAGGAACTAAAATAAGATTCAAAAGGGCTATTAGTAGCTGTGATGGGAGTGATGGAGATGGGCACTAGGCCATATTCCCAGGGATTTGGGACAGGACACGTCCCTAAGATGCAGACTATTAAAATATTTCTTGGCAGGGTTAAATTCATTCAGTTAATTTGTAATAAACTCAGAGCATTTACTTATACTCAAATAACCTCAACTGCAGCCACATGCACTCAAGAGACTCTTATAAAGCCCTTCAGCAAGTGATATGAAGCAGCAGCAGTTTTTCTACGTAGAAATTTGGCTACAGTTTACATCTATCAATGAAAACAGAGAGTGATTTAATTCTATTACAGCAGCATGCAAAACATGCCCAGTGCTCTACATACATTCAAGACAACAGTTTCTATTGTTAAGGAACAAAAATACAGTTTCTTTTATGTCCCCAGTGCAAGGGCTATTCTTCTTTATGGAGACCGAATTCAGAAGTCTGACAAATATGTACTTCCCTTGGCATTCCAGGTGGCTTCTGGTTCCTGAAAATTCTGTAAATGCTTAAAATGAGCTATAGAGAAGACAGAACATTTTAAACACCTTGCGGTGTCCTTTCCCTCCTGAAATGTGTACAAAGATAAGCTAACTTACACAATTCTACTTGTACATTTATTTTTCATTTTACAAACATCTTAAGACACTTCTATACAAAAATTAGAAATAGGCCCAGTACTTCAGTCAGATATAGACTAAAGAGCAACTGCCTTGAAGACTTGCAAAAGGTTTTCCTGATTCCAGACCAAAATATTAGAAATCTCATGAGACCACATAACAAAGCTGTCAACTGGGGCCAAACAAACAAACAAAAACCAACAACAAACAATAACAACAACAACATCTCAAAAATAGGTTCCTTATGCAGGGGAATTTCAAATTGACAAAATTCAGATCTCACTCATTTCCCATAGGCCCCTGGAAACTGAAAGGAATTTAGACAGAAATGTCTACTTTTAATGATCTCTAATAAAACCAATATGCAGTGTTACGAGTTAATATAATAATTTTAATATGGCATTAATATATTAAAATACCAAAACTTAAAACCAAAAATATGATTCTGGTATTACAGTGTCTTTGAACACATGGAAAATAAACAGGCAGCCATAAATAAAGAGCTGAATAAAAGACAAAAGCCCTCTCTCCTTCACAAGCCAAGTAACTGAAGATATTGATCACAGGGCAGTGGTTCCAAAACAGCAGAGCACTTGATGGTGACCAGCTGACAGCTGCTGCTCACTTGTTACTAACTGTGCTTTTTATAGATGTTAAAAAAATTACACTCAAGATAAAAAACACACATACTCTAACATGTTATTTTTCCATCTATACCACTTTTGTAGTGCCTACAGAAGTGCAATGAGAAATAGGAGTTCATGTAACAGCGATTGAGCTGAAAGGTGTCCACAAAAATCAGACAGATGTACTCTCCAGTAAAGCATAATTCTTGCTCTGAAAGAATTTGAGTGTGCCTGCTCTAAAATTCTAACAGGTCCTAGGACACAAACCTGCTTGGAGTCAGATAGCTAGTAGACATGTCCCCTTCCATCAGAAATACAAGACGGGACAAAGGAACTTCTCTTGGGAAAAAAAGTCATGAACAAGATTAACCTACTGTTTCCATATTCATTTTTAAAAGGATAAATCTATTTTATGACAATGAATCTTACCTTTATAATCTTTTCAACTCCAGAGGAACAGATCATATAGGTGTGAGGATTAAATCGGACTTGGTTTACAATTGACCGATGACCTTTCAAAACCATAAAGGCACCATTAACAACCCTGCCGATTCCACCTAGAAAAACAAAAGAAAAAAAACCCACAGCTGATTTGGAACATAAGTGTATTTAACAATATACTTTAATGCTATTCTGTAATAAGTTTAAAGCCTAGACTGATAACAGAATACTAACCTGGTATATAAAGTTAATAAAGAGAAAAGAAAACCAAAAGGTAGGGCAGGATGGTTCTGTTTGTGATTATGGGCCAGATACTATTTCACTAATTAGGCATTTCAATGTGATCCTATTCCACCCATCTGGAGTACCCAAAAAAAAACATTTGTGCGAAAGGAGAACAGGTCTTCCTCTTTGTTGTCCTTTGTGATCTAAGCTTAAGCTTGAGAAAAGGGCATGTTACAAAAGAAGAACCCTTAATAGTTTTTCAGGGACTCAAGCAGGGTGGGAATAGTCACACTTAAGTGCCCCTTATATGTCCAAGCAGCGGAATGGGAACTGGCCCCAAATTGACAGTAAATTTGCACTGGGAGGAGACTCTAATCTCCGTAATCCTAAATGGATGCTAGAGGCTCTGGATCCCAGTATGACAAATGTGTATGCATGTCAAAGAAATGTAACACATTTGGCAAGAAACTGTTTAAGCCACTAATGGCAGAGCCTGAGGCTGATAAAAAAAAAAAAAAAGTGTACAGAGGCTATTGGCTCCATAATTTATGCGCTTCATTGTGTCAGAGATGGAATAAAAGTTGCAAGGAATCTTCTGGGCAATGACATTAACAAGAATATTGTCCTGCAGTGTGTTACTGAAATGACCTCTTCTTGGCTGATACACGGGAATTCAATGATAGGCTTCCAGATTTAACAGCATGAACTGCTATGGGTTAAGCTACAAAGCCCAGAGTATGTAACCAAGTGCTGTAATAACTCATATCCTCTAGATCAAGGCTGTGCAACTGGAAGTCCACAGGTGGTTAAAACTGCATCCCACAGGGCTTGTTAGTATGGCTGCTGGAACTGCTGTGTTGGTGAAACTCTGAAGCCCCAAGGGAGTGAACACCACCCTCTGCTTGTCCCCTCACCTCCCACCCCCTTGCTTACTGCTGAATTCAGGGTTTTTCCATCACTGTTGGAGGTGGATCATTCAGCCTGGGAGAATCTTGCAAGCTGGATTCAGCCCACAGTGTCAAATGAGTTGGACACCACTGCTCTAAATTGTGCAGCAGGGTACCTATAACACATACTCACCTGTCCTTTTTACATCAAGTTCTTGCCCCCGAGGCAGAGGAATTAAAAACACATGGCATTTACATAAAAGGGAGCACCAGAAAACTATTGCAGTTTCCGTATTACCATTTGTGACTGGTATCCAGGTTGTAGCCATATTGGTCTAGAGGCAAAAGGAATCAAAACTTGTGGTAGAGGTGATTAGACCAACCAGATTTTTGCAAAAAAGTCTTTAATTGTAAGCTTTTGGGCACAGGCACCCTTCTTCAGTTCATATATATGAAGAAGTTCATATAAGTTAGCACAGGCAGGCAGGCAGGCAGGCAGGCAGGCAGGCAGGCAGGTGCTTGTGCCCAAAAGCTTGCAATTAAAGACTTTTTTGCAAAAATCTAGCTGGTCTAATAAAAGATATCACCTCTACAACAAGTTCTGATTCCTTGCATTTGTGACTCACACTTAAGGAGCTCCTTGTGTTTCATCTTATTAGTTCTGTTTTCCAAACCCACATGACTACAAGTATATCCCTGAAATATGGAAGATATCATAATTAGCTGTTTGGAAATGTAAACTTCATTGCTAAAGAGGAAATAAGCAAAATTCAACTCCCTGCTTGGCATTTGACACCTTCAGAGAAGAAACCTGCTGGAGTTTTATCTCTGCCTAATCTGCATATACATAGAGGAACTTATTCACAAATGGTCTTTGAGACCCAGGGGAACCCCAGCATCCTTTACCTCCCCTGTGCAAGATGAAGTTTCTTTTTTACCTTGAAGAACTTTTACAATCTTTGAATTCTCCTCTGCCTGACTCTGTTTGGACCTGAAAGCTTGCAAAGAGTTTTGTTTTCCCCCATTTTAGACACTGCATGTATGAAGAACCAACATGTATTTATATACAGATATAATGTTTGAAAAAGATGCACACTTACATATTCAAATGCACATGCCATGATGAAGAACAGGAATGAAAGTGGCACTGATATGAAGAAAAAAGCATACTGGCGGTGGAAGTAGGGGACAGGGACAAAGGAGGAGTATACCTCCCTGACCTGAGCTTGTA